CCCTCCAGGACCCTGCTGAGGGTGTAGAGCTGGTCCAGTGTTCCACGACCAGGACGAAAACCACACTGCTCTTCCTGAATCCGAGGTTCGACTATCCGATGGAATAAAGAGAATAAATCGAGTGTTTTTCAGTGAAATATGGATGCTAACATAAGCTAATATGTAGCATCCATATTTACTTGTGTAAACGTGACGAGCTGTGTGTGACATCATGCCTTCATGGCCGTGGACTGTTGGCTGGAGTCTAATGTAGGCATCTAAAACATAATGTGAACGACCACGCAAAGAAAGTGAATCTGCGCATTAAGACCTGCAGTGTGAACTTCAGCCTGATTCACTAAATGATGATTTTTACAGTTCATTTAATCCTGACCAGCAGCAGCTGATCAGTGAGGTTTTTAATCGCTCACCAGTGGAATGACTTTTTCCTCCTCTCTGCATCTTTGCTTCAACCTCTCGTGGCACGTCTGAGGAGACGTCTGCAGGTAAACTACAGAGACACACATAAACCTTTATTAACAGCTTTTAACGCTGTTCATGACATCATATACTTTGAGCTTTGTTTCTGATTTAATGTGCAACTAATGGTTACTGTTTGTTTAGTTTAAATAAATGGAATGCTTAAAAATGCTCACAAAATGTTTCATATTTTATATAATTATTCTTGTTTAAGAGTTTAGTTCCTGTCATTAATCTAATAAAACAAATGAAGGTTTAATGTGCTTTCAGACATGACAAACGCCTCTCTTCTGTTTGTCATATTTCAACCCTTTTTTTTATTTTAGAAATAAGAAACTAATTTTTACACGTACACAAAACTGAAATGTTTGAACTTTTAATAACTCTCGTGTTCCTACCAATCAGGTCGACAGGCAGGAAGATGTTTGTTGTGATCCAGTCAAACCACTCGCTCAGAACAGCGTAGTCCACCTCGGGCATTTGTCCGCTGAGGGCGGGGACAGCAGGAGGAAATTTTTAAGACTTTCAAATTAAAAGAGATAATGTGCAAAATTATACTTCAGACCTTTTGTAGGGAGGTTCTGTAGAAAGAATAAGAAAAGTAAACATCTTACCTGTTGCAGATGGCTTTTTGAATGACAACAATTTAAAAAAAAAACAAAGTTTATTTGGCTAGTTGCTGCAGGGATGAAACCAAAGTGGATCGACTAGGAATACATTTACAAATATTGAGCTACAATAACTCCAAAACATACTGTACTTTGAGTATTATGGGATAGCAAACTCCTTTTTTTTACTCAATATGGCCACCAAATCTCCCTGAGCAAATGGTTAAAAATCAGTCATATTTAGTGATCTCGAACTGCATTTTGGTGTTTTGGTATCTGACGATGATCCTCAAATTGCTAAAATCTCTGTTTAAGATTCAAGATGGCTGCCACAGCTACATTGGCAAAAATGGCTCTTAGGTCAGGGAAACATTAGTTTTCTAAAAACAAACACTGTTTTTACATGTTTATTTTTTAACAAGACAAATACTGAAACTGAACATGAGTCAGTTCAGTTTGGATAAAGAACTCTAGTTTCTATCTCAGTTTTAGTGTTTTTGTGACAGATGCTGATTTTCTTCACATTGGGTTTTTGATTTCTCTAAGGGCCAGCTGCAAGAATGATGTCTAGAAAAGATGTGCTGTTTGAAATTTATTACTGTAAATATGAGATGTAAGTAAAACAAACATTTATTTAGAAAAAGTCAACTATTTTAACTTTACTCTGCCGTAATTTCCATATTTTGTTTACACTGATTCTAACTCTATTTTTATTCCTGAAGAGAAAGTAGCAAAAGTAGCAAGTTTTAGCATTTTAGGTGCATCCAGGGCCAGCTCTGACAGGAAACTCTTTATATTCCTGCTGAAACGACTGTTTAATGTGAAACTAATAGAAGAGCAAAGGTTTCTAAAATAAAGTTTGAATAAACCTCGAAAGTTATTTTACAACGCAGCCGTCTCACTCTGATTAATCTCAGTCTGGTCAGAATTGTTTAAAGGATTGTCTACGACAGGTAAGATATTAACAGTTGGTAGCTTTTCCACAGAGCTGAACTATTACTTTTAGTTATTTTGAATCAATGTTGAGGTTTTTAAATTAATATGAGAATAGTTCAACACGTACTGTGATTAAGTCACATTAAATTGCAGCAGAAATGGTTCTGAATGAACAGAGAATATCTTAGTTTTCAGATCAGAGCCTAATGAAGATAAAACCTCATTTATGAACTCAGTTTATGCTGGATTTCATGTTTTAGTCTGTTGTTTGATCCTGATTCCAGTTACTGATACCTTCGATAGAGATTCTCCACAAAGATGTACTTGGCACTGAAGATGGACCTCTCCAGCATCATGACGGGAGCAGACTGAAACCATGATGGGAATACAGGTTATTCTGTGTGCTACGATCAGTGTTAGTCCAGTAGCTGCATGTTGGCCATGTGCTTACAGCAGCTGACAGGTGTCTCTCCAACATGGTGAGCTGAACGTAAGTCTGCAGCGTGATCCCCCAACGCTGAGGATCCTGGTACATCAGGGCCTAGAGGCAAAGGGAAGAGCTCAGAAACAGTTCACAGCTGCAGAGTTCAAACAAATATCCTAATATTCAAACATCCCATGGAGCTCCATTAACCTCTTAAGTCCCAACGGGTTTTCTTGATGTTTTTGCTCAAAATACCACGCTAAAATGTAATTGAGTGTATCTCAGCATTTACAAACTCAACTGAAATAATCTTGGTGTCAAAATAAAGCTAACACTTGGGAGATTTTATTAGAAGTGTAAGTATTAAAACAGCTGCTGTGGTTTTAGAGATATTGAGGATGGAGCATAATTTTTTAAAAAAAATTTCCCTCCCGTCTGAATATGTTTTTCATTAAACAGTATATAACCTATTTAAAACCATAAATCCACTTGTGGACATTACCTGTGCAAAGATTCATGCTGCTAAAATGAACTGGAGCAAAGTTAGAGGTTTTAGTAAAGAAACAATTTTGCATTTTGTCATTCTGCACAGGACAGACCATGATGGTAGCATTAATAAATGTTAAGAAATCTTAAGTTTTTACATCTAAAAGTTGTTGTTTTTTCTTACCAGCCTTAAAAAGACTTGTTATTGAATGTTTGTTCTTTTGAAAAATTATCCAAACATTTATTTGTCACCATATATATTACATAAAATAACGACAAATTATATTTGATTTCATTTGGATCATATTCACTCAAAATCAAGTGAAAAAAAAAAACTTTCAACACACTTTATAACATATTTTGGTATATACTTTGGCTTGCTTTAAAAACAAAATGTCATTATTTTCCTTTGATTTGTTGTAATTAATTTACAATGTAAAAAATGTACCATTTTCTACAGTTTGTTTACTTTCTGATTCAACTGCCTGTCGTTTGAACTGTTTGTTGGATGTGAATATAGTTTCCATCAGCTTTTAGTCAAGATTCTTAGCTTTGTATTGATACCAAACATGTCAAGGTTCAACTTACCTTAAGTTAACACAAGTTAAAAGAAATAGAAAACGGGAAAAGAGGTTAATTATTATCATGAAGAGATCACCAGAGCAAACCTGCCAAGACAGCAGCCTGTGAGGGTGAGGACCTGAAGTCTGATCTTCACTGACCAAGACAAAAAGCCACTGAGCTCCTCGTTTTCTCGAATCTTTCTAGATTTTCTACATATTCTGACTCAGGGCAGAAATGAAGCATTGTTTTATTCTGACATCAGCTCCGCAGTGAAAACAGCAGCAGCGCAGTGAATTACCAGAGGGTTGTGTCCGCGGACATTCCTCCATTTAGAAATTGGTTCAGTAACGATCTGAAACAAAGAGAAGACAGGACTGATGAACAGTTTTCACGTTGTGTCGCTTCATAACATTTTAAAGCAGCGAGACAAAACAAATCCCTGTTTGACAAATCCAGACTACATTCAGTGCTTCAGCTGGAGTAAACTACAGCCTCTACAATGCATATATTTTTGAAAAACAATGAGGTGTATAACACAGCTGGTTTTTCATCATGTCTTTGTTTACATGTTTGAATTATTCTGTGCTTTTGCGAAGTCTTTATGGATTCCTCCCTCCATCTCTCTTTAATCCTCTGTAAGCTTGCAGACTTTGGTTCTCTCCAGCCAGTCTCAGTGCCAACCTTCAGGAGTGCATTCACAAAGATTTAGACTTTGTTTTGACACACCTCTATGTTGCTCGTCCTGCTGAAGTATTCCAGGCATGTTGTCTTTCCACTGGCAATATTCCCCTCGATGCAGATCTGAAAACAAGAGAGGAGAGAACAGGTCGGTCATCTCCTGTCAGGCTGGTCTGAGCCCGCGGTAAAGCTAGCCGGCTCTGACTCCAGCCGGCCCAGCGCACAATATACCATTGCGCGGTAGCTCAAGACATTATGTCCTGATGCATCTCAGTAATCCGGGTAAAAAATCAAAAAGAAAAAAATTGTATAGGTCCTCTGGAAGGGTTCTTCTCTAATG